ATTGGAGGAGGGAGAAGAAGAAGAAGAAGAAGAAGAAGAAGAAGAAGAAGAAGAAGAAGAAGAGTTTGAATTTGATATCCCGCTTTATCACTACTCGAAGGAGTCTCAAAGTGGCTAACATTCTCCTTTACTGCCTCTCCCGCAACAAACACTCTGTGAGGTAGAGTGGGACTGAGAGACTTGGAGAAGTGTGACCTGTGCCTAAGGTCAGACCATTGCAGCTGCATGTGGAGGAGCGGAGACGCGAACCCGGTTCCCCAGATTACGAAGCTACTGCTCTTAACCACTACACCACACTGGCTCCCTGAGCTCTGGCCTTGCTAACTAGGGGTGATGGGAGTTGTAGTTCAACAACATCTGGGGACCCACAGGTTGAGAAAGGCTGGTCAATTCAATGTTGTCTACACTGATTGGCAGTGGCTCTCCAGGGTTTCAGATAGGGTTCTCCCCCAGCCATTTGTGGCAGGGACATAGGGGGGAGGGGGCTGCTGGGGCAATCTCCCTGGGTGCCTTTTTCTGGGGCCGCAATGCTCACACTGTCCTCCCGAAACCAGCCTCGCATAGCAAGGTCAAAGCCTCCCAGATCAAAGCGGCTCTGGGCGGGCAGCATGAGAAAGATCCCATGCGGCTGGGATTGAAGGCTGTGTGGCTGTTGTGTCCTTCTCACATAGCCCTGCCCCGGTTCCCAGCCTTTCAAAGCAAGGCTCTTCTGGGGAGCCTCCCTGGGTTGAGCATTCCACAAGTGGGGAGTCACCACAGAAAAGGCCTCTCCTTGTGTTGCCACCCTCTAGACTTCTTGTGGATGGGGTAAAGGTAAAGGGACCCCTGACCATTAGGTCCAGTCGTGGCCGACTCTGGGGTTGCGGGGCTCATCTCGCCAAGGGAGCCGGCGTACAGCTTCCGGGTCATGTGGCCAGCATGACTAAGCCACTTCTGGTGAACCAGAGCAGTGCACTGAAATGCCGTTTACCTTCCCGCCGGAGCTGTACCTATTTATCTACTTGCACTTTTGACGCACTTTCAAACTGCTAGGTTGGCAGGAGCAGGGACCAAGCAATGGGAGTTTACCCCATCACGGGGATTCGAACCACTGACCTTCTGATCGGCAAGTCCTAGGCTCTGTGGTTTAACCCACAGCGCCACCCACGTCCCTTGTGGATGGGATACTCAAATGATTATTTCAGGGTATGGCTCAGTGGTTCCTAAGGCTTTACAGGTCAAAAGCAGCACTTTGAATCAGACCTGGAAGCTAATTGGCAGCCAGTGCAGTTGGGCCAGGATTGGTCTAATATGCTCAAGCCACCTTGTACCAGTGAGCAACTTGGCTGCTGAATTCTGCACCAACTAGAGTTTCCAAAGGGTCTTCAGAAACAGCCCCACATATAACATGTTGCAGTAATCTGAACTAGAGGCTACCAGAGCATGGATGACAGAAGTTAGGCAATCCGTGTTCAGATAGGGACACTGCTGGGCTGCCAGCTAAAGCTGATAGAAGGCACTCGGTGCCACTGAGGTCACCTGAGGCTTAGGTGACAACAAGGGATCCAGAAGTATCTGCAAGATGAGTGCCTGCTTCTTCACAGGGAGTGTAACCCTATCAAAAGCAGGCTAGTTCCCATTGATCTGGTCCAGGGAGCTGCCACTAACAGTGCCTCAATCTTATATGAACTGAGTTTCAGTCTGTTGGCTCTCATCCAGTCCATTAGTGAGGCAAGACACTGGTCCAGCACTTCCACTGCCTCACCTGCAGATGTAAAGGAGAAGTAGAGCTGTGTGTCATCAGCATATTGCTGACAATGCACTCCAAAACTCCGGATGACCTCACTCAGCAGTTTCATACAGATGTTAAACAGCATAGGGGAAAGAGTTGAACACTGAGGAACCCCTCCATGGGGCCTCCCCAAATATCACCTATCTTGAACCAGAACTGGAACCTCTGGTGCCTGCCCCCCACCTTGGACAGCTGCTCTAGAAGGATGCCATGGTTGATGGTATCAAAAGCTGCTGAGAGGTTGAGGAGAAATAACAGGGACACATTTCTCCTGTCTTTCTCTTGACGAAGGTTGTCATACTGGGTGACCAAAGCATTTCCTTGCCCAAGAAGGGGAGATTGGCCAGTAGTTATTTAGATTTTCCATGGAAGGTTTCTTGAGGAGTGGTTTTACCAAAGCCTCCTTCAAGCAGGCAGGGGTCATCCCTTATTGCAAAGGTAAAAGGACCCCTGACTGTTAGGTTCAGTTGTGGACGACTCTGGGGTTGCGGCGTTCATCTTGCTTTACTGGCCGAGGGAGCCAGTGTACAGCTCATGTGTACCGGGTCATGTGGCCAGCATGACTAAGCCGCTTCAGGTGAACCAGAGCAGCGCACGGAAACACTGTTTACCTTCCTGCTGGAGCAGTACCTATTTATCTACTTGCACTGGTGTGCTTTCAAACTGCTAGGCTGGCAGGAACTGGGACCGAGCAAAGGGAGCTCACCCCGTCGCGGGGATTTGAACCGCCGACCTTCTGATTGGCAAGCCCTGGGCTCAGTGGTTTAGACCACAGCGCCACCCACGTCCCTATCCCTTATTATAGGGAGGCATTAATCACTTCCGTGGCCCAGCCAGCTGCCCCCCCCATGTTAGTTTTTATCAGCTGGAGACCCAAGTTTGGGAAAACTCACAAATGGGATGTAACTAAGGTGTCTGTCAGTGTGGCCAGATCAGACACCTCATTTTTTGTGTGAAAATATGTTTATTATTTTACACTGATTTACATTGAGGTCATATACAATTTGCATCAAAACCTATTTATTTATTTATTTATTTATCTATCTTCCCACCATTACATCTGTGATAGTCTAATTCTCTCTCTTCCCTGCTGCCTTCACCTTATCTATTTACTTAAATCCTATATTACGAAACGTTTCTATTGTCTTTCCACTGTTCATAAGTCAAAACCTGTTTGTTATTTGGCTGTATTGCATTCTTATATAAACTGAAAAGCGTCCCCAAAGTCATTTCCCTTGCATATTCCCCTTCTTACTTTGATAGGAAATATGGAAGATAGTTGTGGAATTTGTATTGTTAAAACAGAAGGGGTTAAACCATCTCAAGAATAATTATGATAAATAATGGTCTTTGTATCTTTAAGAGAAAAGATAATAATGAGAAAAGATAAAGATAAAAAAGATAATAAAGAGAAAAGATAAATAATGGTCTTTGTGTCTTTAAGAGAGAGAGAGAGAAATGATGCCAAACTAAAGTAAATTTGAATATTATCTGTAAAAAAATAAAATAAACGGAAAAGGGTCTCCATACTTCCACATATATTTCATCTTTCTGATTCCTTATTTTAGCTGTGAGTTGTGCCATTTCTGAGTAGTCGAGTATCTTGATCAAGCAGACCAGACAGCTGCTGAACATCTTTCTGAACTGAAGCCTAAACTCAGCCTTGCTTGTAGACGTAAGGAAAGTCCTACTCACTTTCCCAAATGACTGAATGCAAGAAAGAAAGCTCCCTTAAACAGTTTGAGAGGCATGTTGCTGATGCTCTGGTAAATTGGAACACTAGCTAAATTAATGCGTGGATTCCCCACCCTCGGTGTCTTGGAGCTTCAGAAACATCTCTTTAAAAAATTGGAATAAATAATGCATCTTTTGTCTGGCTCACCTACATGGATGGAAAGCTTTGTCAGACAGCCAGTGTCTCCAGCTAGGAGTCTTTGAAAACATTGCTTAGATTTTGATTGGGGCCACTGCTCTTTGAATAGGAGACTGTTGGGGTGTGTGTGTGTTGTTCGTCGACATGAGATCATTTGTAAGAGTAGGAGGGAATAATTTCGGCGCAGCACGCAGTGGAAAGCCGGCACTCTGTTTGCACTCCAGAAATAATGGCAGACGTGTGTGGGCCGATGCATATATGCATCTATGTCATAAGGTAAAGTAATTGAGATCAACTTGGCCTGGAGCTAAAGGTGAATGAACTCACCGTGTTCATCCCTGAGTCCCATTAGAAAAAGGAAGCAGGGCAAAGAAGCTCAAATGGGGCAAATTCTGCAAATAATATTATTTTTCATTTCTGAGTAGGGATGGTCCTTTAAGGAAGTGGTGTGCCAAACTGAGTCTCTGACCCGGGTGAAAGAATGATACAGTTGAACCTTGGAAGTCAAATGGAATCTGTTCCGGAAGTCCGTTTGACTTCCAAAATGTTTGGAAGCCAAAGCGCGGCTTCTGACTGGCTGCAGGAAGTTCCTGCAGCCATCTGGAAGCTGCGGAAGCTCCGTTGGATGTTTGACTTCCAAAAATAGTTCGCAAACCGGAACGGTCACTTCCAGGTTTGTGGCATTCGGGAGCCAAAACGTTCGAGAACTAAGCAGTTCGAAAACCTAGACAGGATCTTAAAAAGCAAAGACATCACCTTGCCGACAAAGGTCCGTATAGTTAAAGCTATGGTTTTCCCAGTAGTGATGTATGGAAGTGAGAGCTGGACCATAAAGAAGGCTGATCGTCGAAGAATTGATGCTTTTGAATTATGGTGTTGGAGGAGACTCTTGAGAGTCCCATGGACTGCAAGAAGATCAAACCTATCCATTCTGAAGGAAATCAGCCCTGAGTGCTCACTGGAAGGACAGATCCTGAAGCTGAGGCTCCAAGACTTTGGCCACCACATGAGAAGAGAAGACTCCCTGGAAAAGACCCTGATGTTGGGAAAGATGGAGGGCACAAGGAGAAGGGGACGACAGAGGACGAGATGGTTGGACAGTGTTCTCGAAGCTACCAGCATGAGTTTGACCAAACTGTGGGAGGCAGTGGAAGACAGGAGTGCCTGGCATGCTCTGGTCCATGGGGTCATGAAGAGTCGGACACGACTAAATGACTAAACAAAATAATAATAATAATAATAATAATAATAATAATAATAATAGAAGATTTATACCCCACCTAGTTTCACCCCTGGCTTGGAAGGGGCCACGAGGGTCATCTTGTCCAACTCTCCCTCTTTCCAAACCTTTTTTGGAGATGCCAGCAAGAATTGAACCCGGGACCTTCTGCTTGCAAGGCAGACACCCTGCCTCTGAGCTATGGCTCCCATACACGCACACTTGCAAAATAAGGCTGGCAAAATAATGAGCACCTGATGCATTATCATTATTATTCGCAGCTGCTCATTAGTCATTATTGGATTTGACACAAGCCCCAACAGCTTCCACAGGGCTGCCTTACACTCTCACTTTCCTTCAGAAGGTCACTCTGTCCCTCCCTCCCCCTCCCTCCCCAATCCTCTCTGTTTTCCCAAGGAGACCTGCGGGGCGCATGTGGCTGTGCTTGCAAACATGGATGCAATCTGTTTGCTCAGCATTAGCTCGGCTAATTCCTAATGAAAGGGCTCTGCCGAGATCTGCGCAGGGCCTCCGTGTCCATAAATAGCCCTGCTTAAATATAACTTACACGCAAAGAATTTGATTTTGATTAGGGGGTTGGAGAGGCAAGAAGGGTAACATTTAGGCGCGAGAGGGAGGGGCTTGTCATCCAACATCGTGGAGCTTGAGATATGTGGAAGAGAAGCACAGCTTGCTTCAATTTAGGAACTGGGTGTGTCGCTGCAAAAGGACGACCGATTTGGTCCTCCTGGGATTTCGAGGAAAGAGGAGAAATGACAACACGATACTGCAAGAATCTGAGATCAGAAGAAGCCCAGTCCAGCTTCCTTCCCCTCGGCAGGGAAGGATGGGCTGGATTTCCCACTGCTGTGCAGTTCAAAAAGATTGCTGCATATTGTTGTGACTTTTTTTTGGAGGGGGTGGTCAGTCTGTATGATGACCCAAGTCTCTTCCAATTCTTGGGTTCCTGTATCTGCGGCGGCGGAAAATATGAGAGCAAGCTTGCCAAGCCAGTCTCTTTGTCTAGGGCTAGGCAGTGGCTGTGGCCGACTAGTTAAGCACCACAATTAGCATAACCAAAGAAGTAGCTCTGTGCCGTAGAATGAATGGGTGGATCTCTCCCCTTGTCTCGCCTAACTGCTAGGTGGAGAGAACAATAGCAGTGCAGTTGTGTGTGAGCTGATCTAGAAAGCAGACTAAGAAGCTGGAGATAAAGAAAAGGAAGAGACTTTTTCCATATGTGGTGGGATTGTAATTGTGGCGTTTGCCTCCTAGGTGGGTCATAAGGAAAGGGTTAAAATGAGTGTGATGTGATTGGCCAGTGGGAATGTAAGGGAGGAGTAAAAGTTAGAGTGGGAGGTTTTGAAAGTCAGTTGAGGTTTGGGAATTGGAGAAGGAAGGAGGAGGAATAGGCAGTGGGTTGGTCGAGTTGTATTGTGAGAGAGTGAGAGGAATTGTTAGGTGGGGTCAGATAGATAGTTGGGGATAATCAGTTTGAAGTTGTTAGGAACTAAGATTAAGAAACTGTCAAGAAAAACTAACTGAAACCATAAGCTTGTTCCTGTATTTAAAAATAAACTTGATTATTTGTTTATGTTAACAACTGTCTGGACTCCGTGTGTCCCTGTGAGAAATGGGGTGGTGGCAGCGAAGAAAGCAATCACAGTGCTGGCAAAGGGTCAATAGACCGTCAAACGTCCGGGGGCCCTGTGTGACCGCCACAGTAATGAAATTAAAAAGTTTTGGGAAATGATATACAATGAATTGAGGAAAATGTTCTATCTAACAGTTGTTTAAAAACCTGAAGCACTTTTGTTAGGAATTGTAGGGAAAGACTTGCCAAGGAAATTGAAAAATATTTTCATGTATGCGACAACGGCGGCAAGAGTCTTAATAGCGCAATGATGGAAGAACGAGGAAATCCTGACTAAAGAACTATGGCAAGAAAAACTGATGGATTGTGCAGAACTGGCAAAATTGACACACAAACTACGGGACAAGGATAACTGTGACTTTAGAGATGAATGGGAACCCTTTACAAAGAAGCAACAAAATGAACTGGACTCCTTGGCAGGTTTTAAATAAACACTCACAAACTTTCTTTTGATAACAGTCAGATAAATTAAGGACCTATACAACTTTGTAACACGCAGAGAATAACACTTGTTGATAGGGGGGATTAAGGATGATATGTTTTTTGATAAAATGTTTTGTTGAAATTCCTAATAAAAATATTTTTAAAAAAACTAAAGAGAAGCTGGAGATACAGAGATACATGCTTGATCTGTGCTGGAATCCAAAGCTGTCACAAAGGGAGAAGCAAGATATATTGTGGTGTTAATGCTGTGATCTTATGCTCAGGTTGTGTATGAGTATAAATAAAACTGAATAGCCTAAAGACAAGACAGGCTCAGTTGAACTTCATTTTGAAGAAATCAAACCCTGCATAAGCGAGTGGAACCCCTAGATTCTCTCACCACTTGGATATTAATGATACTTCTGTATATGTGCTTTGTAGATCAGCAATAAATCACTTAAGCCAAGGCTTCCCTCCCAAAAGCCTTTGCTGTTCCGGACTCATGCCAGTGCTGGCTGTAAAACAAACCGGATGCAGAGTTGCCCTGCTTTGATCCTGTTGAAACCCAGTGGGAGTTACATGTCCTAGACTGAGCTCCGGATTGCAGCTGGGCCATTAGTGGCAATGGTATTATGTAGGATTTTTGTCTGCAAGCCAGCCAGCTGCAGAGGAGAACTAATAACTGACACTGAGAATTTATATAATGTGTTTCCTAAACACTCAAAGGACTTCAGGTATATTATATCAGTAATCATTGCATCAGTTCCTCAAAGTAGGTTAATGGACATGCCGACAAATCACAGATGGAGGAGGACTACAACTAAGATAAAGTAACTTGGTCCATTGAGCAAAGAGCAGCTTCTTGGGAGGGACATAGTATTTAGACTGGAATAATGTCTAAGTACTAAAAAGTACTGTTTTTTGGGGGCGGGAGGCGGGCAGGTGTGGAGAACTCTCTGGTCCTGAATGGGGTTACTGTGTCCCTGAAGGACCAGGTGTGCAGCCTGGGAGTCATTCTGTCCATGGAGACACAGGTCAATTCTGTGTCCAGGGCAGCTGTTTATCAGCTCCATCTGGTATGCAGGCTGAGACCCTACCTGCCCGTGGACTGTCTCGCCAGAGTGGTGCATGCTCTAGTTATCTCCTGCTTGGACTACTGCAATGCACTCTATGTGGGGCTACCTTTGAAGGTGACCCGGAAACTACAACTAATCCAGAATGCGGCAGCTAGACCGGTTACTGGGAGCGGCCGCTGAGACCACATAACACCAGTCTTGAAAGACCTACACTGGCTCCCAGTACGTTTCTGAGCACAATTCAAAGTGCTGGTGCTGACCTTTAAAGCCCTAAATGGCCTCAGTCCAGTATACCTGAAGGAGCGTCTCCACCTCCATTGTTCTGCCCAGACACTGAGGTCCAGTGCCGAGGGCCTTCTGGCGATTCCCTTGCTGTGAGAAGCCAAGTTGCAGGGGACTAGGCAGAGGGCCTTCTCGGTAGTGGCACCCGCCCTGTGGAACGCACCCGATGTCAAAGAGAAAAACAACTACCAGACCTTTAGAAGACATCTGAAGGCAGCCCTCTTTAGGGAAGCTTTTAATGTTTGAGGCATTACTGTATTTAAATATTGTGTTGGAAGCCGCCCAGAGTGGCTGGGGAAGCCCAGCAAGATGGGTGGGGTATAAATAATAAATTATTAGTATATTATTATTATAAGCAGGAAGGAGCAATTTTCTCCTCAAACACTCCCAAAGCACTAGGTCCGCGGATCGGATTTGGCTGTGCTATGACGGCCCTGCAGTGGTGAGGATTTGATGAAGGACCTCCTGACATCTTAACTACTGAGTTACATAGAATCATAGAATCATAGAATCATAGAGTTGGAAGAGACCACAAGGGCCATCGAGTCCAACCCCCTGCCAAGCAGGAAACACCATCAGAGCACTCCTGACATATGGTTGTCAAGCCTCTGCTTAAAGACCTCCAAAGAAGGAGACTCCACCACACTCCTTGGCAGCAAATTCCACTGTCGAACAGCTCTTACTGTCAGGAAGTTCTTCCTAATGTTTAGGTGGAATCTTCTTTCTTGTAGTTTGGATCCATTGCTCCGTGTCCGCTTCTCTGGAGCAGCAGAAAACAACCTTTCTCCCTCCTCTATGTGACATCCTTTTATATATTTGAACATGGCTATCATATCACCCCTTAACCTCCTCTTCTCCAGGCTAAACATGCCCAGCTCCCTTAGCCGTTCTTCATAAGGCATCGTTTCCAGGCCTTTGACCATTTTGGTTGCCCTCCTCTGGACACGTTCCAGTTTGTCAGTGTCCTTCTTGAACTGTGGTGCCCAGAACTGGACACAGTACTCCAGGTGAGGTCTGACCAGAGCAGAATACAGTGGCACTATTACTTCCCTTGATCTAGATGCTATACTCCTATTGATGCAGCCCAGAATTGCATTGGCTTTTTTTAGCTGCCGCATCACACTGTGGGCTCATGTCAAGTTTGTGGTCAACCAAGACTCCTAGATCCTTTTCACATGTACTGCTCTCAAGCCAGGTGTCACCCATCTTGTATTTGTGCCTCTCATTTTTTTGCCCAAGTGCAATACTTTACATTTCTTCCTGTTAAAATTCATCTTGTTTGTTTTGGCCCAGTTCTCTAATCTGTCAAGGTCGTTTTGAAGTGTGATCCTGTCCTCTGGGGTGTTAGCCACCCCTCCCAGTTTGGTGTCATCTGCAAATTTGATCAGGATGCCCTTGAGTCCATCATCCAAGTCGTTGATAAAGATGTTGAATAAGACTGGGCCCAAGACAGAACCCTGTGGCACCCCACTAGTCACTCTTCTCCAGGATGAAGAGGAACCATTGATGAGCACCCTTTGGGTTCGGTCAGTCAGCCAGTTACAAATCCACTGAGTGGTAGCATAGTCAAGACCGCATTTTACCAGCTTCTTTACAAGAATATCATGGGGCACCTTGTCAAATGCCTTGCTGAAATCAAGGTAGGCTACATCCACTGCGTTCCCTTCATCTACCAGGCTTGTAATTCTGTCAAAAAAACAAGATCAGGTTAGTCTGACATGACTTATTTTTCAGAAATCCATGCTGACTATTGGTGATTACAGCATTCCTTTCT